ACACACACACACACACACACACACACACACACACACTTTGTCCCTCTCTGGTCAAATTAAAATAAATAAATGGATAAATTAAGTTAAATAAAATATTTTTAAGAAGTAAATAAGGTTAAATAAAAATAATTCCTTTTCAGAAAAAGTAATTTTTCTCAAAAAGCCAAATGGATACTTAAGCAGTATATTAATTGCAATTCATTTTCTTGTTAATAATTTTTTTTGGAGAGATTTTTGCCTTAGGGTACATGCACTCACCTGAGAGACAGAGACAGAAAGTGAGAAATCACCCCCCGCCCAGGGGGCATGACCATGCTGCAATTCCTTCTCCTCCATTCTCCTTTCAGGTTTTTGGTATGCATGCACATGCACCTGGCGTGAGTTTAAAGGTACTGGTTTGGGACTTGAACTGCAGTTGGCCACATGGAGGTCTAGCTATGTAACTACTATGCTATCTGCTGCCCCCAATAATTTTAATACTAAGGAAACCTGTATCTAAAAATGAAAAGAAAAATTTGGGGTTGACAGATGGCATGGTGGTTAAGGCACTGGACTCCCACGTAGCCAACCAGGGTTCATGTACCTACTGGACTTGGAAGCTTGCTTTATCGCTCTCTCTCTCTCTCGCTCTTTTTCTTTCTGCTCAAATTGGATACTACTACTTCTTGGGACCAGCAGTTAGTGTAATGGCTATGTCGCTGGACTCCCATGTATTCGACTGCAATTCGAGTCCCAGACCCAGTGGCTTAAACTCACGCTGGGCGCATGTGTGTGCGTGCATGCCCAAGATCCCGAGAAGAGAAGGGATTGCGGCGCTGCCATCCCCCCGGGGGGTGATTTCTCACTTTCTGTCTCTCGGTCTCTCTCTGTCTTTCTGGTGAGTGCACTTGCCTTATAGCAAAAACCTCTCCAAAAAAAATTGGATACTAATACTTCTACTACTAAATTAAATTAAATTAAAATAATTTTTTAAAAAATGAAAAGAAAAACTTGCAGTTGTCTTTAGTAATAAATTCTATATCTTCACAATAGTGTACTGCTCATGTAGAAATAATTAGACTGCCAAACTTATTGAGAGATTATACAAACGAGAAAGAAAGGAAACAATTTTTTGTTTGTTTTCTACATTAAGGACAAAAAGGAAGTGAATTCTTTTATGGAATATCTGTGAGCTTTTCATGGTAACCCAGCATGTGAATATCTGAGCAGGAGTGTTTTATTCTTTTAACCTCCTCCCCTTGCTGATGTGTGTTCTTTTGTTTCCTAATTAGTAATCATTAGATTGCATATTCACATTAGATTTCACGCTTTACAGGGCTGCATGTCAGTTGTTCTATTGTACCCTATGGGGCATGCAAAACGTGAAGTAGAATTTCTGGAGCGCGACAATGAGTTTATGGTGTATTATATTGACTGTCAAGTGTCTTTAAAATATACAAGCCAAAAAATAATGTATTGATGGCCATTCATTTTTTAAAGCATTCTTTAAAATTTAATTTGATTTGTCATAATTATTATTTTTCAGTTTGCTACAGGGCACATGTGCTTACCAAAAAGAGACAGAAGCAAAGAGAGAACAAGAGAAAAGAAAATAAGAAAGGAAGCTACTAGGTCTGGGACTCAAACAGTAATAGGCCATGTGGGAGTACAGTGCCTTAACTACCATGCCACCTACTGTCCTCCATGGCCTTTAATTTTACTTTAAATATTTTTTGGGGGGGCTGGCAGGTGGCATGGTTGTTGGGGGCGCTGAACTCCCACATGGCCAACTGCGATTTGAGTCCCAGACCTGGTGGCTTGCTTTCTTGCTTTCCTTCTCTTTCTCTCTCACTCTGTCACTCTCTGGTCAAATTAAAATAAATAAGTAGATAAAAGTTAAATAAAAATTTTCTGTTTAAAAAAAAATAGAGACCAGCAGTTGGCGTAATGGCTATGTCGCTGGACTCACATGTAGTCGACCATGGTTTGAGTCCCGGATCTGGTAGTTTATACTCGCACCGGGTGCTTGTGCATGCATGTCCAAGGTCCTGAGAGGAGAATGGAGGAGAAGGGATTGTGGCGTGGCCATCCCCCTTGGGGGCTGATTTCTCGCTTTCTGTCTCTCTGTCTCTCTCTGTCTTTCTGGCGAGCGCACGCACACTATAGCAAAAACCTCTCTAAAAAAACAAACAAACAGAAAAGATGTTCTTGGGTATTTTATTCTAGCTTTTTTTTTTTTTTTTTTTTTTTGTAATTGCGCAGTGTGCTCGCCAGACAGAGAGAGACAGAGAGACAGAGACAGAAAGCGAGAAATCGTCCCTCAGGGGGGATGGCCACGCCGCAATCCCTTCTCCTCCATTCTCCTCTCGGGATCTTGGGCAAGCTTGCACACGCGCCCGGTGTGAGTTTTAAGCCACCAGGTCCAGGACGTGAACCACAGTCGACTACATGGGAGTCCAGTGACATAGCCATTACACTAACTGCTGATCCCTTCTTTTTATATGTGGAAGATAGCCTTTGAAATTTAGGAATCAGCAGGTGATGTAGTGGTTAAGGACCTAGACTCCCACATGGCCGACTATGGTTCTGAGTCCCAGACCTGGAGCCTTGAAAATCACACCAGGTATGTGCATGCCCAAAATCCCTAGAGGAGTTTGGAGGAGAAGGGGTTGAGGCGTGTGGTCATCCCCCATGGGAAGTAGCTTCTCACTTTCCCTCTGTCTCTGGTGAGTGCATGTGCCCTATGACAAAAGCTTTAGAAAATTTTATTTATTTATTTTTCAGAATGATTTATTTTATTTTATTTATTATTATTTTAAAATTTGACCATAGAGAGGAAAAGTGAGAAATTAAGCTACCAGGTCTGGGACTCAAACAATGGTCAGCCAAATAAGAGTCCAGCATCTTAACCACCACATTACCCTATGTATTTATTTTTTAAAAATAATTATTCTTAACTTTATTTATCTATTTATTTTAATTTAACCAGAGAGAAACAGAGTGTGTGTGTGTGTGTGTGTGTGTGTGTGTGTGTGAGGGAGAGAGAGAGAGAGAGATTAAGAGAGAGAGAGAAAGTGAAAACTGCCAGGTTCTGACTTGAACTACGGTCAGTAATGTGGGAGTCCAGTGCCCTTAACCACCACGGCACCTGCTGGCCCACATTATTTTTATAAATCTTTTCAGGGGCCAGCAGGTGGCATGGTGGTTAAAGGTGCTGGATTCCCACATAGCTGACCATTATTTGAGTCCCAGACCTGGTGGCTTGTTTTCTCGCTTTCCCTTTATCTCTCTGTCTCTTTCAGGTCAAATTAAAAAAATAATAACAACAAATGGAATTAAATAAATAATTTGAAAAATTTTCCAGAGGGCATGCACGCTCACTGGTGAGAGAGAAAGGAAGTGAGAAAGCACTTTTCATGGGAGATGGTCACTCTGCCATCCCCTTTCCTCCATCTGTCTTTCCTTTTGGGATTTTAGGTATACACATGACCAATCACAGTTCAAGTCTTGGACCTGGCGATTTGCTTTCTCATTCTTCCTCCACACCCCTGTCTTTCTCTTTGGTCAAATTAAAAAATATAATAATAATGATAACAAGGAAAATAAAATTTAAAAGGTATCCTAATTTGGCCCCACATTTAAATTTATCTTTTTATTTGCTTGTTTTATTTAGTAATTTTCTTTCTTTCTTTTTTTTGGGGAGAGGTTTTCGCTATAGGGCATGTGCGTTCGCCAGACAGACAGAGACAGGAAGCGAGATATCACCCCCCAGGGGGGATGGCCACGCCACAATCCCTTCTCCATTCTCCTCTTGGGATCTTGGGCATTCATGCACATGTGCCCGGCGTGAGTTTTAAGCCACCAGGTCCGGAACTTGAGCCATGATCGACTACATGGGAGTCCAGCGACATAGCCATTATGCCAACTGCTGGTCCCTTAGTAGTTTTCTTATGCAAACAGATAATACATATCTGGGTCAGTCTGGGAAATCTCCCTTCATCCTCACAAGTAGAGTTGATCATCTATAGTGCAGTATCTAGACCTTGACTATATTTCTATTGTTAATATTTCTCAGATTATTGGGGTTAGCTTGTAGGGTGGTGGTTAAGGCAGCTGGATCCCACATGACTGACCGTGGGGTTCAAGTCCCAAACCTGGTGGCTTGAAAATATGCTGGTCACACATGTGTATATGTATCCAAAATCCCAAGAGGAAAATGGAGGAGTAGGGATGGTATGTCCCTCCCCTTTGGGGTGATTTCTGACTTTCTCTCTCTCTCTGTCTCTCTGGTAAGTGCTTGTGTTTTTTAGGAAACAAAAAGAGAGAGAGAGAAAAAAGCACAACCTTTAAAATATATATTTCTCAGATTGTCACAGTTTAATATAATTTGATGTAAATATAGATGTAATTTTTTATCACTTTTAGCCACTCTTGTTATAATAGGTTTCATAGTTTTATATGAGATATAAATACTTATACATTCTGGATCTATGATGTATTTTAAGTAGGCTTAAGTATTGTAAAGAAATCATTGTTCATGTAGTTCCTCAACTAATGTAGTATCACGAATGATGGCATGGTAGTATTTATCTGTGATTGTTATGAAAATTTGAATTTAGTTTTCTTTGTTTTAATAATACTTATTTTTCTAACAATAGGAGTATTTTCTGCATTGCATGCTGTTCTCCAGAAGGAAGGATAACATGATAGTGTTTATTTGTATCTGTGATTGTCATGAAAATTTTAATTTAGTTTTCTCTGTTTTAATAGTATTTATTTTTCTGAAAATAGGAGTATTTTCTGCATTGCGTGCTGTTCCCCAAAAGGAAGGATTCCTGGGTTTATACAAAGGAAATGGTGCAATGATGATTCGAATCTTTCCAAAAAAATCCAGTTTATGGCCTTTGAGCATTATAAAACGGTAGTTGAACTTTATCTTGTTTTTCTCTTTTGTGTCCTTGAATGTCATTCTTACATGACGAGGCATTTGCTTTGGACTTAGAATTATTTGAATAAATGGATAAAGAAATGTCTTTTTAAAAGAATGAGCCTGTCATGGTTCAAATTTGTAAGTATAACTTGGTTTTGTAGTTACCAATCCCAGAATTTTTAGTAACTTGTAACTTCTGTATGTTCACATATATGTAGAAAAGCCAAAGTATCTTTTTTTTTTTGGAGAGGTTTTTGCTGTATGACGCTTGCGCTCGCCAGAAAGAGAGAGATAGAGAGACAGAAAGTGAGAAATTACTCCCCAGGGAGAATGACCACGCCACAGTCTCATCTTTTCCATTCTTCTCTTGGGATCTTGGGTACATATGCACAAATGACTGGCATTGAGTTTAAGCCACTGGGTCCGGGACTCGAACCGTGGTCAACTGCATGGGAGTCCAGCAACATAGCCATTATACCAACTGCTGATCCCCAAAGTATCTTTTTTTTAAAAAATTATTTACTTAATTTTATTTATGTATTTATTTTAATTTGACCAGAGAGGGACAGAGTGAGAGAGAAAGAGAGAGAGAGAGAGAGAAGATGAGAACGCAAGCCACCAAGTCTGGGACTTGAATTACCGTCAACCATGTGGGAGTCCAGCACCCTTAACTACCAGGCTACCTGACAGCTCCAAAAGGCCAAAGTATCTTTCTTTTATTTTTTAAGAATTATTTTATTTAGCTTTATTTATTATTATTAATATTATTTTTCACTTTGATCAGAAAGAGAGAGAGAAACAGAAGAAAAGTGAGAAAGCAAGCCACCAGGTCTGGGACTTGGAACTGTGGTCAGCACCTTTAACCACCATGCCATCTGCTGGCCCCAGGCCAAAGTATCTTCCAAGAAGATAATAAATCTATAAGATATTGAGAGCTCTTATATGTATTTTTTGTTTCTTCATTGTAGAAGAGGAATACTGACGATTTGGACTTTCTTCTTAAATAAAATAGTGGAATTGTATTGTGAAAGTCTGTTTTAGAGTGATGCTATCTGTTCACAGCTTTCCTTTCCTATTCTGATTCAGTTTCTACTCTCTGGCCAAGTGAGAATTTATCACATTATCTTAACTCCAAAAGAGGTTTGATAAGTTTCAGATTATACCTTAGAATGAAGCATTAGAGGGACCAGCAGTTGGCATAATGGTTGCATTGCTGGACTCCCATGTGGTCGACCACAGTTTTGAGTCTCAGATCCTGTGACTTAAAACTCACGCTGGGGGTATGCGCATGCGTGCCCAAGATCCCAAGGGAAGAATGGAGAGGAATGGATTGTGGTCTGGCCATCTCCCCTTGAGGGTGATTTCTTGCTTTGTGTCTCTCTCTCTATCTCTGGCAAGAGCACACTCCTTATAGCAAAATCTCTCTCTCAAAAGAAAAAAAAAAAAAAAAAGAAGCAGTTCAGATGGGAACAACAAATTTTTTTTTTTTCTTTTTTGGGAGAGTTTTTTGTTATAGGGCGTGTGCGCTTGCCAGAAAGGCAGAGAGAGACAGAGAAATAGAAAGCAAGAAATCAGCCCCCAAGGGGGATGGCCACGCCGCAATCCCTTCTCCCCGGCGTGAGTTTTAAGCCACCGGGTCCAGGACGCGAACCACGGTCGACTATGTGGGAGTCCAGTGACATAGCCATTACGCTAACTGCTGGTCCCAGAAAACAAAATTTTTTTAAAGAATTATTTATTTATTCATTTAATTCAATTTGTTATTATTATTATTTTTTAAATTTTACCAGAGGCAGAGAGAAAGAGAGAGAGAGAAAGGAGAAAGTGAGAAAGCAAGTCGCTAGGACCGGAACTTGAACCACAGTTAGCCACGTGGGAATCCAGCACCTTTAACCACTGCACCACCTGCTGGCCCAAGAAGGGAACAAAATTCTAAGCCTATGAGTCAGAATTGATGCCAGTAGTATATAAAGACTTTGTTGTCTGTAGTAACATTTTATTCCTACCTCCATTCACACTTTAAGAGTTTGTGGTCCTTAATATATGATACAGTATATGGGACCAACAGTTGGTGTAATGGCCGTGTCACTGGGCTCCCATGTAGTCGACTGTGGTTCGAGTCCCGGACCCGGTGGCTTAAACTCTCGCTAGGCACGTGTGCATGCGTGCCCAAGATCCTGAGAGGAGAAGGGATTGCAGCGTGGCCATCCCCCCTGGGGG